GGCCCGAAGAAGGAGGTGGCATGGCCCTGAAAGGAGAGGGGACAGGGATGTCACAACCCCCCAGGACAGGGATGTCACAACCCCCCGGGACAGGGATGTCACGACCCCCCAGGACAGGGATGTCACAACCCCCCGGGACCGGGATGTCACGACCCCCCAGGACAGGGGGGTGTGACACAGCCCAGCCTGGCTAATTGATCAAAATAATTATATAATTATATAATATATTATTATATAATATATTATATATTATTATTATTATAATATATATTTTTACATTATATTATTATTATATATTATTATTAATATTGTTGTATTATTATTATATAGTATATATTATTATATTATAATATATATATTATATATTAAATAATATACATACTTTAATATATACTATATATATTATTATATATATTTTTATTATATAATATATTATTATATAATTACATATTAAATAGATAAATATAAATATATATTATTTATAAATATAAATATTCATTATAAATATAAATATATATTAAAATTCTATATTATAGATTATATTATTTATAAATATAAATATTCATTATAAATATAAATATATATTAAAATTCTATATTATAGATTATATATAATTATATATGTAATTATACAATTATATAATTAATAATTAGAATTATTATAATACAATAATTGTATATAATATATAAATATTATATTACTATATATTATAAAAATATATAATAATGATGTAATAATATAATTATTATAATTATTATAATATATAATTATAATTAATATAATTCATATAATTATCCTATTATTATAATACTTATAATTATATAATAATATAATAATTAATTATAATAACTATTATAATATAATTATATATATATATATATAATATGTAATTATAATATATAATTAATTATAATAATAGTTATTATCATCATTATTATAATACTTATAACTATAATTATATATTATATAATATATATTATATATTATTTAAAATATTATTTGTAAATATTAAAATTCTTATGTTAATACTAAAGCATTAATATCAATATTTTTATGAATAAAATTTAATTAATATTAATTAATAATGTTAATATTATATTATTAATATAGTTAATGCTATTAATGATAATATGTTAAAATATTATTTTAAAATATTAAAATATTATTAAAATATTAAAATATTAATATCAATATTTTAGATTAATAAATTTAATTAATAATCATAATAATGTTACTATTAATACCATTAATATACTGGATACTATTAATAATAATATAAAATAATATTAAATATTATTTTAAATATTAAAAAATTTTCTTTAAATATTAATATTAAAATATAACATTTCGTTATTAAAATATTAAAATATTAAATAAATATTAAATATTAAAATATTAATATTAAAATTCAAACTTTTATTATTTTAATATTAAAATATTAATATTAAATTTTAAAAAAATTCTATTTTTCAGCTCCTGTAGTGCTTTGTGCACAACTCTAAAACTCCACAGCCTTTCAGCTGCTGCTCTCCCATTTCCTTCAGACAAAACAATTCCTCTCTGAGCCTGAAACTCAAGGACACCTGCCTGGCTCAGGCCCTGAAAAATGCAAACAAAAAGTGAATTGTGGGGAGCAAAGCGGAGCAAAATGTGTTTGAATTCCCTGTGAGGCTCCTGCACTGCCCAAGGTGTTTCCTTTGAAGGGTTTTTAATAAATATCTGGTTTTATCTTTTCATTCTGGTCCAGGAAACCTCTCCAGGCATCACC